TGGTAACTCAAATTAAGTTCCTTCACAGCAAACCAGTAACCTGCCTGCTGGCTGCGCAGTGAAGGCCAGCTTGTACTGAGCAAGATACGTATCGAAGAAATCGAAGGTTGAAATGTTATACCTTGGCCAAAGGTTTAGGGTTTAGGGTTGGCGAAGGATTTTGCTAGAGCTTGATTGCACTTGTGTTCCTGAATCTGAAAATAGCCGGAGGGGATATGATTCCACAAAGTGTGGCAGGCTAGCTAGAGAGGATGTGCAAGGACAGAGACGACTCGAAAATCTTCAGCTAAGCAGTATAATGTATTCCCAGTTAAACCATGTGGGATTTCAAAGTCATGGTTCTTTCAAAGTTCTTTCTTTCTCCGTCGCAAGTCAAGCGGGAAAATGGAACATGACACGGAAACTTCTTTGGCCCTCTACAGAACAGAGTTTGATCCGAATGCCTGTGTTGAGAAACGCAACATGGTTTAGGGCTTTTGGTCAACAACCCCAACCATGATACCAGCTTTTGAATACATTGTATTAGGGGGTGGGGGATGTACTATGGCAGGGAGGTCATTATCTTTGAGATTAATTCCATCTAACTGCCACCTAGGCGCGTATCGTGGCCCCTGTTCGCCTCCGTGGAATAGGCCGTGTAGTGCTTCCTCAAACACTCAGGGAGTTCCACGAATCTGAAGCGCCCTAAACCCAAGTCTTGAACCCTGAGCCTTTAGCCCGTGGCACACTATGCCAAACCCTAAACCTAGACCCTCCTAGTACCCTTAATTGGGGATATATGGTCCCTAATAATGGGTACTTAGGCCCTAATAGAGGGTAGGAGGAGGGTCTAGGAAAAAAGATGCTTCAAAAACAATCGCCTTGGGAGCTGGGTTCAGATTGGTCTGCTGGACTGGGCTGGTGAAGGAGGAACTGAAGTGCAAAGCTGTCTTACCCTAAATGAGGGTTTCCGAAAAGTAGGGGTACTGTACCTTTTTGGGGGATCCCATAATCAGGATAATTTCGTTTCGGGATCCATATTGGGTCCCCTTTTTCATGGAAACCGCCAAATCATGTAGTGCTTCTCGTTTGGTGCAGGTGCCCTAAGTAAGTAAGGGACACAGACAACCATCCCAGAATGGCACCTGGTCAGTAATTAGACGGCGTTGTACCCCAAATCGTTGTCTTGTCCAAGTGCGTCTTCCAATTTGGATCAATCTAGAACACACAAGCAAGAGAGAGAGAGAGAGAGAGAGAGAGAGACAGAGAGAGACAGAGAGAGAGAGAGAGAGAGAGAATCTTAAACTAAACCTCATACATTCTGAAAGGGATGTTCTGAGGGGACCGCTAAGCCCTAAACACCAAATCACTAAAGCCCTCGAGCTCCTCTCACACACATACACAGATCTTCCTACTCTACTTCAACAGTTACCCTGTACTGGGTTGCTGTCACGGAACTTAAGTTAAGTTAC